TGGTTTACAGTTAAACAAACATTTTGGAAATCGCATCAAGTAAATAATTCAGTTGACTTAAAAAAAAAACTGAAAAACTATGGTTAAATTTTCCAAATTTTTAAAATTGAAGATAAACAGATTTTGTTGTCTCATAATTTGTGGCTAAATGACAACATAACGGATACTGCCCAAATGCTTATTTTTAAACAGGACCAAATGCAGAACTCCAATATGTACTAAATGCCCATTGGTTTCTTACATTTTGCTCTAATAGAAGACTCAATATTTGTGATAGTCTTTATAATTTACTGAATCCTGTTTCTTTTAAAAATTTTCGAAATGTTAATAGTGATGAAGACTTATAACTTTTCTGCCTGTACAAAAACAAACAGATGATTTTAGTTGTGGATTGTTTGCTGTTGCCTTTGCAGCCGATTTATTAGCAGGTAAATCACCTAAAGAAACTTTGATGAATTGAAAAGGTAGGGACTATTGTTATAATGTTTGAAGTCTCAGCATCTTTCACCATTTCCACAAAAGAATTTTTTTTGTGTATAAATATTGTATTCAAACATAAAAGTTACAATTGTATAACTTTATAAACTATAAATAATTGCTTTCATCTATTATATACTTTTTTGTACCAAAACCGCATGCCAAAAATGGTTCTGGGTTCCAGTTTTAGCATTTTTTTAGAAAAGAAAAATTAGGAAGAAATTTTGATAATGCCTAGGAATCACAGGGATTCTAAACACTACAAGGTATAAGTGTTTAAAAGAGAAATAAAAAATTAAGAAAGGGAAATAAAAAATTAATTAAAAGAAACCCAATAAATTGAGCTAAAAAGGGTTTAGACCTGTGTTTTAGGGGGGAGCGAAGAGCCGATTACCAAAAAAATAAAATTTGGAGGTGCCACAGTATTTTTAATAATATTTTTGAAAACTTTAAAGGAAGTAAAATAAAAAAAGCTTTTCAATGTAAAAATACTGTAAAACCATCTGTTTTTTAACCAATGTTGTTGCGCTAATAATTATTTAATCAGTACGCATCAGAGTGATGCGACGCGCCACCTCAAGTTCAATGTTATTTTCAATGTTAATTCAACTTTAGGGGAGTACTTATATAAATAATCCTCCAGGATTATTTATATCTTTTGAAATAAAAACTACAGATCGTTTCTCGGCCTATTGGCTAAGATCAAGTGTAGTATCTGTTCTTATTTTGGCTTCGGACCATCTCTCAATTGGTTACGATGTTGTTAGAAAGTAGAAACAGCACAAGATTGAAACCGTGACAGTCGATAGAGGTTTGTCACTATTTTGAGTCACTATTTTGAGTCACTATTGTCACTATTTTGAGTCTTTTGAACAAAAACTAATCCTCTGGTTTAGAATGGAGCATAAATCTATTATCATTTGGGTGTACAAAGATCGTTTTCTACTTAAAGAATTTATCAGTAGATCAACTTATTATTAGACAGTTTTTTATGAGAATAAAAACACATTATCAAACAAATGAAATTAGCTATTTGTATATTTTAAAAAAAGTTTTATTTTTTGCGAGAAGAGATTGATTCAAGTGCCATAAAACAATACTATTACAATACAAACAAGAAGCCGTAAAGCTCACTCTAAAACAGCCGTGCTAGGCAATATATTTTAAGAATTTAATTTTAGACAAAATGTATTATAAACTTTTTATTAATTTACACAAATACCATAGAATCTTTTATACTACAACGAACTAGAACTTAAGTTCTAGTTTATTGTGGTATAAAAGATTTAAATTTATATTCAAAGAACAATAGACAGACTAAAGCTAAAAAAAAAAAAACAAAGCAGTGTGCAAAGACTTAAAGAGTAAAGTTCTACTAGTGAAACGCTCATTTGAAAGAATTTTGTAAGTAAATTAACCCACAATCCAAACTATTATTCAAATATATTATTGCAAAAATATCATACTTTAACAGCCGATAGTAAACTAATTAAAGAACCTAACCAAATATTTAACATTATAAATGATCACTTTAAATCAGTCTTTACCAGAGAAAATACTAATAATTTACCGATTCTAAAAAAATACTTTTTGTCTTACAGTTATGAGGCAATAATAGATAATATAATAACTGTGAAATTATTTAAAGAAAAACTTTTTCAGTTGAATGAATATTAATCTCCAGGATTAAACATGGTAAAATCAATTGTATTAAAACGATGTGCGAATGGCTTTGCTTGAATGTTCACAATGATTTTTGAAAAGTTGCTCAAAACTGGAAGAGTGTTAGTTAAATGGAAATTAGCAATTGTAACCCCAATATTCAAAAAAGGGAACAGATTAATTGCTAGCAACTACAGACCAGTAATATTAACATCAATAGTTTCTCAAATACTTAAAGGTATTATATTCGACACAATATATAAACATGTGTTAAATAATGGTTTACTAAATAAATATCAATATGGACTTGTAAGAGGAAATCTTGTTTAACAAATCTAATTAAAGCAATGGACTTTTTGAAAAAAATTGCTTGTGGGAAACATTCCAGTATATATTTGTTGTCTTGACTTTACTAAAGCCTTTGACATTGTGCCTCATGGACGATTATTAATCAAACTTAAGTCATATAGAATATCAAATGTCTGGAAAATAATTACAAGCAGTGTTCCCCAAGGATTGGTAATTTCTTCAATCTTATTCATTTTGTTAAGATATTAGAACACTCTAAGCTCTTTGCGGTTAATCAGGAAAGGAGCTATTATGTATTATGCACTTTGCAGACTGGAAAAAAGATGTAAAAGATGTAACTTAATTCAAATGTACAAGCTATTAAAAAAAAATTGTAGAACTAGATTCTAATATTTTTGCCTTGCGTAAGCCCAACACAAGGGGCCATAATTTCAAAATCAGAAAAGAAATTGTTAAAAGCTGCAATTTTTGTCATCATTCTTAATCAATAGAGTCTCATCAATGTGGAACAAACTACCAGATTTTATCATCAAAAGTGAAGGCTTGAACTTATTCAAAACTCATATTGATAAATATCTAGAGCTATATGACTTGTAATTTATAATTTAATTTATCTACCTAGAATAACTACACAATTTCACTTTATCAGCATATACAAAGTGAAATTAATTACTATTAATTTTACTCGTATTTTTTCGAATTACTACAGCTTTCTATTATACTATATTATAATAAAACATGTTTTTTTCTTCAAAATATTGAAAAAATGTTTAGTTTTACCACTAGGAGTGCAGTTTAAATCAAATCAAGCTTTGTTGTGTATCTGGTGACCTATACATGTTGTTCCAGACCTTAAACACTTGCTAAAGTTTGCTAAAAATGTCTTAAATGATATTGACATGTTTGTAATGAGAAATGGAAATCATATAGAATAAAGCTATGTAAAATTTGGTTCAGAAGCAACTATTTTAAATTTAATATATATATATATATATATATATATATATATATATATATATATATATATATATATATATATATATATATATATATATACATATATATAAAAATATATATATATATATATATATTTATATATTTAAACAATTTTAAAATGTATTCTACAAAATGGAGTGCTCAATGTTCTTAAAAGAACAGAGCAATAATAAAGTAGTAGAAAATCACTTAGCAAATTTTTTTTTTCATTTAACACTATGTTTTATCAATAAAGACTCATCAGTCAACTCAAATCATCCACTCCAAATTCTAAAACAAATTCCGATTTCAATTAATAACAGGCTAAACCAAAACTCCTCAAATGAAAACATATTCAATTCCTCTAAACAAATATTTGAAGATGCCCCTTTAAAAAAGTTTTTTTTGAAAATTTTGGACTAAAATTTGACCCTGAAAAAAAGCGTACAAAAAAGCAAAATAGAACTAGAAATATAATTTGGTTCAATCCCCCATATAGCAAAAATGTTTCCACTAACATAGGTAAAGTGTTTTTAAAATTGGTTGATAAGCATTTCCCGCCCTCTAATAAGTTACATAAAATTTTTAATCGAAACACAATTAAAGTTAGCTACAGTTGCACAAAAAATATGGAAAGAATTATAAAAGGTCACAATAATGCTTTGTTAAACAAAAAAGAAGTCCTAAATGAAAAAACTACAGAAAATTGTAATTGTAAACAAAAAAATAATTGTCCAATAAGTGGAAGTTGTTTATCCAAAAATGTGGTATATAAATGTGTTGTTTCTTCTAAGAATGCACCTGATAAACAATATATTGGTATAACAGAGGGTGAATGGAAAAAACGTTTTGACAATCATAAGCAATCCTTTAAAAATAAAAAGTATTCAAAAGACACCATGATGTCAAAATATATATGTGAATTAAAAGAAAAAAATATTGATGATTTTATAATGAGTTGGTCCATCTTTAAAACAGCACCTGCGTATAACAATATTTCCAAAAAATGCATACTTTGTCTACAAGAAAAATTTGAAAGTATTACACATGCAAACCAAGAATGTTTATTAAACAAAAAATCAGAATTAATTTCTAAATGCAGGCACGAAAATAAGTTTTTCCTAAAAAACTATAAAAACAAGTGAGCTCAAATAATAAAAAACATTAAATCCCCTTTTTTAAAAAAATGTTTTTTAAAAAATAGCAGAAGTAAAGAATTCTTTTTTTATAATAGTGTCAGCATATTTCACAAATGTGTGAGAATTTACAGTAGTTATGACATTTGCGACTTTCTGTAATTTAATTTTTTGGTATAAATTGAAGTTTTATTAATTTGATCATTCATTTCTGATAAGTCTTTATTGATGAAACAGTGTTAAATGAAAAAATTTTTGCTAAGTGATTTTCTACTACTTTATATATATATATATATATATATATATATATATATATATATATATATATATATATATATATATATATATATATATATATATATATATATATATATATATATATATATATATATATATATATATATATATATTTGTTTATATATAGTTTTATTTTTTGTAAAGATGCACAAGAAACGGTGGTGTGTAGCTGGAAATTTGAAACAAATGTGAGTGATTCTTGGAAAATCCAAAACAATCACAAACGATTTGAAAGAGTTCTATATTCAAGTTTAAATTCTACTGTACCACCTCAGGGTAATATTTTTATTTAGGTAATAGTTATAACTTAGCTATATATATATATATATATATATATATATATATATATATATATATATATATATATTATATATATATATATATATATATATATATATATATATATATATATATATATATATATATATATATATATATATATATATATATATATATATATATATATATATATATATATATATATATAAAATAAAACAAGCATCTTTTCCTCATTTGAAATTTATGATTAAGTTAAAACTTAAATTTTTTCTTTATTGTTTAGATGGAAATTGGGCAGTTACTGGAAATGGATCTAATAACGAGCTATTGCTACCTCAAGTTGCTTATTATGGGGGAAACATCAAGTTAACGTTTTTTGCTTTTGCATTTCAGCCAGCCAGTTTGTGTAAAATAAAATTATTTTAATTTATATTTTCGCATTAATTTTTGTTTATTTTGATGAAGATAATGTTTAGAATATAATATATAATAATATTTATTATATAATAAATAACATAATATAGAACTACAGTATAATATATGAGGAATATTTTAATGATGATAAATGATAGTCGATGTTGCGGTTATGTCTAATATAACCAGAAAATAAAGTCCCAGTTTGATGAATTGATCTTTAGTCATTCTGTCTCATGCAATGTCACTTTTAATAAATCAAAGAAAAATCAGCTTTCAGGATCAATAAATCTTCAATTTTTTTGTTTTTTTTATTTTCATCATTATTAAAAATTTTAAAACTCAGTTTTTCTATTTTATAATTGGCAGGCTTAGCTGTTTGAGATAATTTAAGATCTAATTTATGTAACCGATCAGCAGGTAAATATTTATCTGCAAGACACATTACCACAAATCTTTTATTTAAATATCAATTGTGTTTTTTAAGTGACTTCAGCATAGCTTCAGCTGGTGTAAGACAGAACTCAGAATATTGTTAGCTTCAAGAACAAAAGAAGGTGCTGTGGCAGAGATAAGAGAATTAATAAACCACGGAACATAAAAAAATGCTGTAAATAAAGCTATTTCACGAATCAGCTTTCCCCCTTGCAATGATATTTTACTAGGAAATAAGCTACTGAAATGTGGCTGACAAAGGTTATGTGTTAAATAATTAACTCTCTGTGCCATAAATCTGGCATGATGCAAGACTATTGGAAATCTAAAGTGAAAGTTACTTTGTTACCTGACCAAAGAACTGCTAATTGTATAAATTACTTGTAGTTCTTTCTTGGAAACATATCATTATTGAGACAATTTTGAAGAAACTCTAATGATCCAAAAAAATTTTTAAAAAAACTTTATTATTAAAACTTATAGTACAACACATTAATCTAATAAAGACAATCAAACCTGCTTTTCCGAAAAGAGTAAAAATTTTTTAAATCTTTAGTTTTATCTTTCATCATAATATCTTTTTAATTTACATCCTCTAGCATTCTAAAAAAAGTTTCTTTTTTTTAAAACTAAATTATTACTTTAACAGTTCCTGTGTTTGTTTTCAGTGTCAACAGTGTTGTCTCTATAAAGTATCATAATTAATTATAAATATAAAAAATTTTATGACCTAGTAAATGTATATTAAAATTATATATTAAAAATATAAAACTTTTGTTACTTACATGAAGTCAATTACAAATTGCTTAAACTATAAAATAAAAACATTTTAATATAACAAACATCTGATATGTTTGTCAATATTAACAAAAGGAATTTCTGCTTTTTGCCAAATTTGCTTCACTTCATAAAGGACACATGGTAAACATTTTTGGAGACAACCACCTTTTTCAGCATATTGAGCAGTAAAAAAATCACTAAGTGGATACGAAGCAATATTAACTGAAGATGTCTTTGATTTTATTACATCTCTCAAGAATAAGGCATATCTTATTACCTCTCCCAAGAATAAGTGAAGATTAGTTTTATGTATTACTTTTCCCAAGAATAAGGCACAACTATTTGCAAAAAACTTTTCTTGTAATTTGATTTTTAAATTTTATGGCCATAGTCTTCTTGTCATTTGGGTTAAACAGGTTTACTTATTGTTAGACATCCAAATCAGTCTGGTTTCTATTTCTAAAGTCATTTCTCAGTTAAACTTTTCTGCAATTTCTGATCCTGTTATAGTTTTACAATATTCTCTAAGTGTGACTGAATCTTGGTCTTTCAGTCTTTAATAAACAAATTTTTAACATCTCGTCTTGATTCTAATAACTTACTCTCTGACAATTAATATGGATTTTTTAACCTCTGTTTGGTTCTATTGTGCAGTAGATAGGAATGGTATGGTGTATCTGGGAAAGATTTTGTGATTTGTAAAATCAATTCTTTCTAATCGCAGTGTTAAAATCATCCTCAAAGGCCAACATTTTTCTTTATTTCTAGTAACTTCATCTTTATCTTTCTCCTGTGACAACTTAATACTTGCAGTGTCATGTGAATTTAAACACATTTATTTACTTCAAACAATTGTTGCAATTTTGTTGACATTGCTATATTGATGAATCCCTCTCACTATGTCCTACTGACATATCATAGAAACCATATATATAATTGATTGCAAAGATAGCATCTGGTAAAGTTGCTTCTCTTTATTATGCTTACTATTTTTTATTCTTGATTCTGTTCTCTCTCTACAAATCACTTACTAATCTCTGTATGAAATACTGTTGTTATTATTGGGCTGGTTCTTATAATGATGTTCTTTCTTGTCAAACAAGGTCCCAAAATGAAATGAAAATGTATTTTACCCTACTCTATCTACCAAACTCGAACCACTTTCCCATTGTTGTAAGGTCACGTCTCTTACTCTTTTCTAGAAACACTTGATTGCTGCTCAAATCTATAATTTCTAGTTCCATCACTTAACACTTACTTTTGGTTGACTAGTTATTCAGCAAAGTCACATCCTTTTACTGTATCTTTCTCTTTGGCGTCTAATACCAGAACCAAATTTGCGAAAATGTTCTAGAACCAAATTGTCTAAAAACTGCTTCGAATCAAAAAAGATTGAATTAATTTCTAGAATCTAATTTATTGAACATTTATTTATTAATTATTACATTTATTAAGATGATCGAATATCATTAAAGTTTAATGAAACTAAAAACTGAATTACTTTTCACAGCCAATTAATTTAGCACCGAATTTTTTACAATCGAATTTGTAATTTTAAAATTTAATTACTTTTTACAGCCAATTAATTTAGCTTCAAATTTTTTTACAATTGTAATTTTAATGCATGTGTAATGTTGTTGCAGTTGAATGATGGCATAATTTTTTCAAACTGGTTTTTGTGTTAAAGGTTAGTGTGTACATGATCCTGCAATAAATGGTTTTAATTTTTTTTTAAAATAATATATTTTATTTGTTGCAAAATTTTATGTAAACATAAAAAATCTAACAAATGTATGTAAAGATATGTCAAGCTTTGTTTAAATTTAAAATAACAAAATGGAATACAGAAAAATTGAAGGTGACAAAGGGAAAAAATTTGTGTATGTTGCAGAGTACTTAAGCTACATCAAAAAAAAGGAAAACAATGGTTTTGTGTATCTCAAGTGTAAGGGACATCATCTTTATGGCAGAAGTGCAAAAATATTTTTGCCAACTAATTTATTTGAGACAATACATGGTCACACTTGTGAAACTAGGCCCCAAAATTTAGATCACCTTCTATTCTTGAGAAAATGCGAGACATGGCTTTAACTACACCACTTTGCGTGAAATCTACAATAATGTCATCCACTCCTCAACTGAAGGTATCAAGGCTACACTTACTTCCGAAAGTGTAAACTAATTCTATAGAGTGCGCAAAAAAGTTGCTACAGCACAAACCCTAAATCTCTAAATGAGGCAGCTCTAAACATGTTGCAGCCTAATCCTTTTTCTAACATCTACAAAGACCTTGTAGAGTTCGAGGATCAACTAGCTTTTTTCTTTTTTTTTTTTTCAACACTGCTGACATATTTGTCAGGTAAATCATTTTTAAGCTATAATTCATTTTAATATCAAAATGGGGAAACCTAACCTAAAATAATTTTTTATTAGTTTAGATCTCAGCTATTTTAAATGTTAATAATTTTGCTTTTTCAGAAACCACTACCCTGTTTGTTGATGCTACATTTTGTGTGATTCCTGTCATCTTCCATAGGTGTTTTTATTTATTTGAATGAGGCCTAAGCCTCATTCAAATTAATAAAACATTCACCTTTTTGTTGAATTATGAATGCACTCATTCAAATCGAATCAACGCAGCACCTCAACGCCTCATGAACTTTTTGGTTCATGAGGTGTTGAGCCATTTTTGAGGTGTCGCCTTATTTAAAATACTCCGTATTGCGTCGCGCTCCGCTTCATTCCTCAATTCTAGATTTTGGTCCTGCTCCAACAACATGATTAAAAATAACAATTTGCTTCTAACGTTTTTAAGCAATTTTTTTAGGAATTTTTTCTAGGAATGCGTTTTTTTAGGAATTTTTTCTAGGAATGCGTTTTTTTAGGAGTTTTTTCTAGGAATGCGTTTAGAGTTGATAGTTATGAAACAGGTAATATAATGACATTCGATTTGAATGAGTGCATTCATATGGAATGCATTATAAAAATCGATAAATTGAAAGTTAAAAAAAGACTTTGAAAAAATTTTTAATTGTAGAGTTCGTTTTTAGACTTTGATAATATTTTGTTATATACATATATTATTATAAATAAAATATAATTTAGTCTGTATATTTTTACTTTTACTAAAAAAATGAATATATTAGAATGATAATGGTGGATTTAATAAAATTTATAAATATATATCTAACTCATATATTCTGAAGTTGTATAATTAAATCATATATTATACTCTCATGTTCGTATAATTTTATTTACTAATTATTAAATTCATTACATGGAATTGTATAATCAATTAATTAATAAATTATTAATAAATTGTATAATAAATTATATAAGCCATATCTGGGGCGAATCTTCTAATGATGCTCTTTCTCTTTTAGACAAGGTGCAAAAACGCATTGTAAACATAGTTGGACCTGCTCTTGCAGCCAACCTTTAACCTCTGTCACATCGTCGTAATGTTGCTTCTCTTTCTCTTTTCTACAAATACTATAATGGGCACTGCTCGAAAGAGCTAGCGTCTCTTGTGCCATCTACTAAAATTCATTCTTGTCATTCAATTAAGTCTCATCCTTTTTCTGTTACTGTTCCTAAGTGCTCCAAAAACTCTTATTCGTCTAGTTTTTTTCCTCAAACATCAGTTCTTTGGAATTCGCTTCCTTTATCTTTCTTTCCTGATTCATATAATTTGCAATCTTTTAAGGCATCTGTCAATCGTTATCTTGCTCTACAATCTTCATCTTTTCTCTTCCAGTAACTTCCAACACTAATTAG